ACATATATAGGCTTTAACAACCCAAATACTCAAATGAACGAATTTAAAACATAGTCCGAGTCCAGTAGCCTTGAAAAGGAAATCCCAGAATGATAAGCACTGATGCCTGATTCTGCCGTAAGTCAGACCGCCGCACCGTCAGCCATAGCCAGCCCCAAACTCCGGTGTGGCTACCGAGCATTCTTGAGTTGATTACGTTAGATATCTATCTAAAGTATTGCAATTTATCTCTATTCGTACATCTAGCAAGGTCTCGACAGGCTCCACTAGAGCTCCATTGTAGTGCGTGTGCACTACACGATGGCTCCCGAGGAGTCTACCTGGAAGTAGTCTCCAGATCCCGCAAGCAACAATAGGGGTACAACGCCGCAGCTTCCTGACAGGTACACCTGTCGGTGCTGGCAGAAGTCTAGCGGCACCCCTCCCTAACGGATTACCGTCTGCTGCTAGAAAGATAATTTACAACTCCATATTTAGCTGATTAAACGCTGATTAAACCCGTTCTTCTAGCGGAGCCGGAAGAACATGAATATTGTAGTGCACACGCCCTAAACGCACAGCCAGCACTGAGCTTGTCTGTACACCGTCTGTTGCCCATGGCAACCAATAAATAGAGGTGGATAGTAGGCTGAGAAGGCCCAATCGGCAGCCTCTCGGCTCCAGCTGCTGTTGCGGCGGCGGGCGCTGCTGGTCCTGCTGCAGCAGAAGCGAAAGCGGCAGTCACATCGCCGCATTCTCGTGGTCTATAGCGCAAAAAGCGGACTAATATACAAGTAAAATATAAGGGAGAAACGGAAGGAGGAGGAGAGCCGCAGCTCCTCCACAGGATCTGGAGAGGGGGGGCTGGGGGGGTGAGGGCTAGGCAGCGGAAGGCCAATGTGAGAAAACTTCATAAAACAGGCCAGCTAAGGTGAGTTTGAGGCCTTAGGGATCATATGGCCCTCGGAGCTTGACTCCACTCTTGTCAATGGGTGCGCCAAACAGTGTCCGCAGCTCAGCGTCATATGCCCCCAGCGACAGCACAAATGCCGACGAAACCCCATTTGTAAGACCTAGTAGGGATCTGAGTTCCCTCACACGATGGGATGTTGATAATCGATAACCATGAAAGTACTGCGGGCCAAGGATGCTGACGATGTGTGGGCTGAGCCATCACTCCCTCATATGCTATGCGGAGATACGTTAATAGAGAATATTACAATTTAGTGTACTATTTTCAATAATCAGCATGACATATCAATAGGCTGCTCCTCTTAAAGACTATTGCGAGGCGCATCCTTCGAAACCCCACTGCTGAGTATAGCCGGCGGGCATAAGCTGACTGAGACCTTCAAGCAACCTCAGATATGCTACAGATACTCAAGCATCCCATCTGATTCAGCAAACAAACAAAAGCTAACACAGCTTAAAGAAGGTTTCTTCTCGTGCTTTCATCTCGTAAAATTGTTCTGGTCTCATCCCCACTAGACCCGGCACTGCGGCCCCAGGGGCTGGGGGAGGAGAGGGCCTGGCATGTTGATGTGTTCGATGCGGTGTGTTGAGCGTCCACTGTGAGAAACTCCCCTTCAGAAGGGCCAGTCTAAGGGGGGTTTGGGGCCTTAGGGATCATGTGGCCCTCGGAACTTGATCCCACTCACGTCAGTAGATGCACTAGTTTCTGACAGCAGCTCTGTGTCTTGCGCCCCCAACGACAACACAAACGAAGATGAAAAAACACATTGTAAGGCGTAGCAGGGATCCAAGTTCCCTCACACGATCGGGTGATGAAATTCCATAAAACTCTAGGTACTGCGGGCCCTGTAAGCTGATGAGAAGTGGCGGAGAGCCCTCAGTCCCTCATGCAATGCTGAAATCTGATCAAGATAACTTAGAGTATTTCTCTTTAGTACAAATATTTGCAGTAAGCTTTACGTGTAACTAGGATGTATCCCTGAAGGACTACTGTGGGGCGCGTCGTTGGAATCCCACAGCTGTGTATAGCGAGCTGGCAACTTTTCAAATTGACAAAGGTTAAGGAAATTAGTTCTCTCTGTTTATTCGCTCTCTCTGATAGTTGTTCTCTCTCAACCCCAACAGAGCAGGCACTGCGGCTTTTGGAGCTGGGAGAGGAGTCGGCGTAGCCCTGGTGCAATAGCTTTTGCGCGAAGGCTGATGCCAGCCTCTCCTATAATCATATCAATTGTCCCTCCATAAAGAATGTTCAATGCATTCACCAATGTTATATTCGATGCACATCAATAAGCACTCACAGACACTTCCACTATTCATACATCCCTCACTCATTTCACAACGAGCACGGCATTGTTGCCATGATTGTAGGGAGTATACTACATCCTGCGGGTGGCCTGCCCGCCCGTAGGTCTTTGTTACTAGGTACAGCTGAGGACTCTTCCTTCAATTTTGCTCACTTTTGCCGTTCTTCGGGTGTTAATCGGATTGGCTCGCCCAATATTGCGGCCTTTACCAGCCCGTCACGACGGAATGCATGCATATATCGCCGTCGTTCCCTTCAGTGCCTCTGCACTGCATGGGGTCATCGTCGTTCCGCTTTCGTTGGGACACACTTTCTACACGTCTGAGTATAGAAGATGCAAATACCCTTGGGAGCGCCGACAGGTGCAAACTCTCATCACTTTCCCGCGGAAAACCCTCTCTGGCGTCATTAGGGAAACGCATTTGCGCCTTCCACTTGTTCACGCACGGCATGCCTAGGATTATGTCGTGGTGAACAGGTCCATCGTAGAAGTCCTTCGTCATATTATTTTTCCCCGTTGTGGAACTAAGAGAGCAGTTCAAACCCGTAATTTTCCCGTACCTTCAGAGATTGCGCCAATTAGTGGGCGGGTATGCGGCACCTCTTTTCTGAGGCTTCCGATATTATATGCACTTCAGTATCCCGTATCGAGTAGGGTTAGTAACTCCTGCCCTTTAATGCGTAGTTGTGCAAGCAATGGATTGACTCGAGATGGATTTGTGGATGCGGCCGTTATCTCATGTGGCCCCATCACTGCGCCGCACGCTGCGGGAAGGCCCGGGCGTTTCCCTGCTGTTGTTCTGTTTGTTCTCTTGGTGGCGCTGTTCGAGATTCGGTTTCAATTGTTTCCTAGCCTTCTTCATAAGCCGGCAATCTCAGTTTATGCGACATCGTTTATTGCAAAAGAAGAAAATGAACGGTTTGGCACATCCTTCTTCTTTTCTGGGTGTTAAATTCACTGTCTGCTGTCGGTACCTACTTCTTGCCCCCTGTTTGGCTAGTCTTGTGCTTACAGCCTCAATGTCCATAGGCTCCAGATAAGTTTCATTCCCAGATCCGCTTTCTTCCTTTTCGGCTAAGGCAGCGGATGTGGCACTTTTTTTTTGCCATTCTGCGAAGGTACTCCATCATGTCAGCGATTTCTACTCTTTCACCCCTCATTTCCCTGTCCTTGGCCCAGCAAGTTACTGATTGTTTCACTCCGGGGGACAAACCCGCTATAAACCAATTATAGAATAGCTCCATATTCCCTAGGGGGTTTCGATTGACCAAAGACTGGTATTTCTCAATGTAATACTCTGTCAACAGCTTCCCTAGCTCACGTTTTCTCATTTCCACCATGGCCTGATCCCCTGCAGACCTCAGGATAAGCCAAGGGCGCAGCGCATCCGGGAAGGCCCGCATGGACCGGATGCTGAATATAGAGCCTTTGCTTAAGTGTAGCCACAATCGCCGTGCATCCTCTCCTAATAGAGAGGAGACCAAAAGCAGTTGGAATTCTTCTGGGGCATTCTGCAGGGGCAGATTGTTCAGATTTTGTTTAGGAAGGGGAATTATGTACTACTTTATTTTCTTTTATTTTTTTTCCAGCAATGCCTTAGGCCACCCATTGGATGTTTTAATTTGCGCACGCGCCTGCTCCTGTGAACCATGCAGTGGTACCAAGTATAAGCCTTGCCGTCTGGCCTTAATCAAGGAGAGAAACACGCTGCAATGAAAGTAAAGGCTCGAAGTAAAACTTTCCCAAAGCAGCTGGCCTCCTTCGCCTGTCCCCAGGCGTCCTTGGCGTTGAGCTCAGGACCTGGGTGTTGCGGGAAGGTCACCTGCTTGGTGAAACTCTTACTTTAATTTTTTACCTATACTGCAGCTCCTTATCGTCCTTAACTAGGGGCAGAGAACAAACGCTGCAACGGGAAAGTTGTCGACTCAGAATTTACCGTGCACTGGCTTTCAGGAAAAATACTAAGAAGTGTAATGAAAGTAGCTGGATGTGAAAATGTGGAGTATTACGGAAATTGGTACGTGTTGGGCTTCTTCTATCGTTAATAAGGCACCGATTTGTGGGGCTGGACGAACGTGTCTGTGCAGCTTTTCAACGCAAAGTCCGCTGAAATGCTCATTTGTATTTATCATGAGAGTTCCGAAATGAATGAAGTAGGTTTTATATTCCTTTTATGAAATGCTCTTCAAGAAAATGGGTTTTTTCGTAGTTTGATCGTACAGCCCTAACGCTAGAGCCTGCTGAACACAGGGCTGTTTGTTCCAGCTCCCGTGTTCATGCGGGGCGCAGTTGACTTCCCTCGCAGCCGCAAGTGGATGGGTACCACTTTTGCCCGCCTCTATGCTTGTTTTGCTTTAATATCTTTTCCTTTTTGGTCACCCATTAGTGGATATTCGCAAGTGAGCACTTGAAATTGCAGTTACGCCAGTGGGTGTTAGCGGCTGCCGCGTCGGATTTGCAGTGGGGCCACCGACAGACTGGGCAGTTTGTAGAGTTCAAGATGCTTGCCGAGTCTCATGTTATCTTTAATATTGTTAGACACGTTTTGTGTTGTTTCCTGATGCGTTTAATGGCATTGGGAAGTTCTTCGCTGCCGTCGCCCCCGACGCGGCAGAGACAGCGTTGGCCCCACCACCTGTTGCTGAGAGCGAGCACATGGCGTATTACGTGGCTTCACATTTGTTTTATGTATATTAATATATTTTTCTAGTTACTTGCTTGTTTTCTGTGCGTATATGTAGCAGGATGGCGCCGAAGGAAAAGAAGACCAAGGAACAGATTGCTGCGGCTGCTGCCGCAGGCAGCAAGAAGAACAAGAAGGTGGGTTGCGTACATGTTCTGTTTTATGCCTTTTACCGCAAATGCTTTGTAGGTGCAGCGGCGGCCATAGTGAGGAGTGCATGGACTGTCCTTTCCTCTCTTTGTGCCCGTTCGGATGCTTCTGCGGTTCGGTTTCCCCAAGGGGCATCCTACGCAGAACTGTGGATCTACAGTGCTTCACTGATTGGTTTCCGGGTGTGTGTGTGTGTGTGTATGTACTGCTGCAGAAGTGGTCCAAGGGGAAGAGCAAGGATAAACTGAACTACGCTGTCATGTTCGACCAGGCAACTTTGGACAAGTTCATGGCGGAGGTGCCGAAGATGAAGTTGGTTACCCCGTACACAATTTGTGAAAGGCTGCGTATTAACGCATCGTTAGCTCGGAGAGGGATTCGTGAACTGCATCACCAGGGGTTGATCAGGCCGCTTGGTGAGCAGCACCACTCCCACTACGTGTTCACAAGGCCGGCTGCCGCATGAGCTTTTGCTCAGTTGTTGCTGTAAAGCTACATGTATATTTCTCCGACGGGGGGTTCTTCTGTTGGATGCAAACATAGCTCCTGGGGAGGCCTCGCCCAGCTGCAATCCCATGCGCTGGTCTGCCTCGATCAACTGTGAGGATGAGGGGCTTTTGAACTGTCAGGGGGGGATCACTGGATTGGGGCAAACTAGGGTGTAATCTTTAAGTTTTACTCTTCCCATTTTTTCTTGTTTGACTTTGTTTATATTTCTATCTTTTCTTTGATGATGTTTTCTTTTTTGTTGCTTGTTTTGATTGTCTATTGCTTCTTGTTTTCCTTGTTTTGCTTGTAAATCAAGAGCATCCATATGATGACCCAAATGATAGGCCTGAGACTGCCTTTGGTGGTCCTGACGATTACAGAGCCATTTTTTTCTGAAATGGAGCTCTCATGCTTTTTGTTTGTTTCCTTTTATGCGTGCTTCTTCACATTTGCAACTGTTTTAGTTCTTCATTCAGTTTTTAATTATATTTATTTATTTGTGTAGTAGCATGATGAGACGATGACGAGGATGAGCGTCGCAGTGGCAGTTTTTGCCGCTTGGGTCGCACCTGATTCCTAAGAAGGCATTTGTCTGACGATGCTACTACACAGCTACTAATATTAAATATTTATTAATTTAATT